ATGTTCCACATGTGATGCTTTCAGATGCATAGGCTAATACCATTTGGATATATAAATAAATCCTAGATATGAAATGACTTTGAAATTTAAAATGTAACTAAAACATGACCATCATTGCTAATTAAATCTTGTGATTTGAGTTCTTTTTTCTGGTGTGGTTCAATTTAGCCTTTGCCTATGTTCAACACATTCAAAATATTTTATTCAGGAAATGTGAAAGCATTTGGAAAAGTTTTAGCTGCAGATTCATCAGTTAATCTCTAAGTTGAATCCAGTCCATACTTGGACTTAATTAACATGGGCCAACCATATGTATGCACATTTTCTAAAGGAACCACAAACAGATGGGATTATATATACTATAATTTTATCCTTCATAGTTACTATGGCTCAGTGCATATACACACTTCTTACGATGCCTTTACAATGTTTGGTAAACAGGAACTGTAATAGGCAGCCATTGGCATTTTAGTCAGGGGAGAGTAGAATAACTAATGAGACAAGCAGTGTTGTCTTTTATGACCTCCATAGTCCCATTTGGACAGGCAGAACCAGTAGAAAGGTTTATTTGGAACTAACTGAGGGGCAAGAATCTAATCTTGCAATCTAGGACCAATCTGGGGTTTATATCCAGCCTTAGTTAATATTAAAAAAATGATATATCTCTAGGGACCACCCACGGTGTTCTGAGCCTGTTTTTCCACTTAGGTTCATCCTTCCTTTTGATATTTTCAATGTCAAATTCTGTTCTTGAGGATATATGTAGGGAATCTGAGGATCTATCAACTGAGATTTCCACAAAAGAGGAGATGACTGACAGCAATTGAAACATTCTCTTCATAGCTTTGCATTTTAGCCTTTAGCAAAATGTCTATTAATTATATGTAATAGTGAAGAGTTGGTAGGGTCTGAACAAGGATGTGTTGAGATATTTCCAGACCTCTAACAATTTACACACCACAAATATTCAGAATGGTTTATATGGATTTTTTTTCAGGTGCAGCCACATCTGTGCCTGTTCATGGAGCAGGTGCCAGCTCAGGGATGGAATTGGCAAGGTACTCTCTGTGCTTTATAGGATGAGTTAAAGCAGCCATTTCATTATAGAATTTTCAGAATGATGGATCTTTGTGTGGATACCTTGGGTTTTGATTCAGGAGCATCAATGATTAATGCAACACATACTTCTCTGAGAGATCCAAAGGACCCTTTCAGGATCTAGGTCTCAAGGATAGGGTATTTGTA